CTTTGACGTACATCATAATGCAGGTGACTGATAGCTTCCCTTTACGATGTTAATGTTAAAGTATGTCTGTAACTAATTTTTTCTTGTGATATCAATGTTATGTTGCGTGAAACGCTGTATATGTGGCATTATTCTTTATTTTGTACATATTGTAAATTTCAAACAAGAAACTATGTATGTTAAGCCCTGCCCCTTAAGGAGACAAGATTGTGATGTGCAGCGTGGATGCTCCAGACTCTAGTCTGTGACCTCTAATGTATATTTGTGTTTCTCTATGAATGGGAGGCCATAGGAATGTTTTTATGTACATTGCCTAATAATGCTGCCGTGCTCCTTTCATCAGACTATCCTCGCTCTTTCCGGCATGCCATCATGTCAGTGGTTGTTTAGGAACAGTGGAACAATTTAATTCTGACAATAAAACCACCCAATACAGGGCAAAAACGTAAAATGCAAATTATTTTAATGACTTTAAATTACTGCTAAGGAATTTGAAAAATTGTTAATTGAAATTTTGTGGTAGCCTTTCTCTAACTTTGACAAATATGGTACAGTTCCCGTTTGTCACCTGGAACCAGCTTAAAAAGATTTCATGCAGAAAAAAAGTTACTCTGCACCTGCGGTAGTGATTGCACCCTCTGGAGTTCTCAACCTCTGACCTTCAGTCTTTACCTTTTTTTTACTCATTCTTCCTGTGTTGCCATTGTGCGTTAAACTTTGCTATTTCCACGACAAGGCAGTTTCACAGCTGCAGGTATTGTATTTCTAGGGAATCTCTGTCCCTCTTCTGATGTGGTGTTGGCATCCAGAAACAACCGCTTGCCGTCAAAGACTGGGAAAGGTGCTCCAAACATGGTGTCATTGACACGTAGTAAGCCATTCACAAACACGGTGAGTGACCGTGCAGTTGTTACATGTGTACATACAAGTGGAGTTAACACCTCGCCCGTCAGTGATTATTATGAGAATAATCTGCTTGCTGTGCACCAAAGCAGTGACACTTGAGTAAAATGGAGACTGCAAATACCTTTGAGAACTGGCAACAAAACTTACAGTGCACCCTCTCACTTGACCCAAACTTTGCTGCATTCTTAATGGAGGGCTGTCAGTGGGGAAGAAAGCCCAAACTTTTTCCCTATGGGGTTCTGTGGAGGACACTGGCACAGTCCCAGTTGATAAACAGAACACTGGTCCGCAAAATGTCACCATGCTTGAGCTGAATGCTAGGGCAAATAGTAAACTCTTGCCTGGTGATATCCTGCAACACAACAATCAGAAACTCTACATATGACAGGCCATACGCCTACAGGGGCACATTACAGTTTCCAGTCAATTGGTGCCCACTTTGCTGCCTTTTCTGACATCCAATTCTACCCAGATAAACGGTCTGTAGACCTGTACCAATGCCTGACGGCATTTGTTAAGGATACTCCACTCAGACTGGAGTTTCCCATCATGGCGTCCTTAGAGAACTTCACTGTATTGACGTCGCAGCGACTGATTCATACCGGTTTGCCAAAGTTAGTAAAGCAGCATTATGGCACTAAGCTCCAGTGACATACACTCACATCCATAAAACCAGGGTTGTCCTAAGCCCTAGACTCACTCATCACTGAACTGCATGCCTCCAATAAGGCCAAGACGATGCATGCTGCAGCCTCACACCCTCCGTCCTGATGCCCCTCTGCCCTGCTCCAGTCAGGGTCACTACGCATGCCTCTCCCACTCTTGGGAGTCATCCCTGATCTGCAAGCAAGTTGGATGGAGTATTCAAATGACTTCCTGAGTGAGTGCCCCCACTTTCTTGGGCAGGACCGGCCCTTCATCTTGAAGGCCTGTCAGATTGCTAACATCCTTGATGATAGTCTAGATGGCGAGTCCCACATCCTACATGGAATTGAGAACAGTGACACCAGCATGACACAAACGCCTCCTCTGCCTTCCGAGTCTATCCTGCAACTCCATGAAGTACTGTGGAGTGGCTACCCCTTTCTGCAGAGTGCAAGTCTAAGCCAGGTTAGCAATGGGTATGCCAGGGTCGGAAACTACCCGAGAAAAGTTCACGTGCTGTGTTCTTGGAGACCTGGTGAAGGAGGCCATAGTGGCTAAGATTGCAGGTGACCTGTACTGCGGTGGCAAAACTCACAGTGAACTGTTACATGTCTGGAGGCAAGTTCTGCACACCTTGTACAAAAGCGACCTGCATCTTTCTGCAAAGAAGACCGTCATATGCTCAGAAACAGCTATCATACTTGAATGGGTTTGGTCACTAGGAACACTCAGTGCGAGTCCTCACCGTGTTGCCACTCTCCCTTCATGCTCTTTATCCCCAAGAAGGCTGCAGGCCTGCATTCTATTTCTGGGCATATAAAGTTCTTGCCCACGTCTTGCCTAACAGTAACTGTGCCTCCGTCATATCGCCCCTGGATGTCATCGTGGCTGGACATCAGTCAACCGATTGCCTTCAGTAGACAGACGGCAACTATGCTGCTTTCACTTATGCACCTTTTAAGGCCTGTACAATGGATTGTCATAGACAAAGCTGTCAAGAATCATGGCACCAGAGCCACCTTGTATGTCACACACTATTCTTCATTGTACCTCACTGGTTTCTTCAATGCCAAACTTCATGGACATCATCCAACCTGGCCTCTTTGTGAAGTTGAGGCACTATCCATTGCTGCAACCACCAAGCATTTCAGTCTATACATCATCCAGTCAAGGCACAAAACTTCCATTCTCACAGACAGCAAACCCTGTGTACCAGCATGTGAGAAACTATGCCGCGGAGAGTTTTTTGCCAGTCCCATCATGCCCATAGGCTGAGTTCGGGCGGCTTGTTCCCGTATGTTTACGAACAGCTCAATTTGTTGTTCATGGGTCAGCTGCTCGATCGCTGGGAACAAACAACTAGTTATCACAAGCAATATGCAACATGGCGGTGTGCGCATCCATGTATACGTTATTCGAGAGTTAAGGTTTGGATGGGCTAAATTCTTTTTATATAAACAGGAACATTCATTTCTGTGTTAGGGAAAATGATTAATGTTAATTTTGTAAAACTTCCCATTGTCAACATGGTCTATGGCTTTGGAAGCCATCTCTCTACTTTTTGCAGCTGTTCAAAAGGAGGAGAATGGTGCCTGACACGGTTATTACCATTAGGGTCTTGCTGTACTGTACCTCCATGGCGACTGCATCAAAACCAAACGACAGATACCTTGTGACAGCTGTTGACTGGGTGTGGCAATCAGCTTAGAATCATGTCATACAGTGTCAAACACTCTGAATGACTCACCCATTCCATCCAACCTGTTAGATCTCCATGACAGCACAGATGAGGTAGCCACCACCATGGAGCCAGCTGCCCATGCACTTCCTACAATGAAGTTTGGCATTGAAGAAACCAGTGAGGTACAATGTATCAAGGTGTCTAACTTACAGGGTAGCTCTATCTGGTGCCATGATTCTTGACAGCTTTGTTTATGACAATCCATTACTAGTCATCTGGTAGAGGTTAAGTGATTGTACAGGTACAGTAAAAAGATAATCGATG